CAATTCTGCTGCTAACAAACACAGTTTGCCGCCTCATCCCCGCAAACGCTGCTCTCCCCTCCCAAAACACTCAGCCTGCTTAACAAACTTGGCTTGTCCTCCGAGTTGATTGCGTGTGTGTGTGTGCGGTAGGGAAAAGTGTTGATGTTATTCGGCCGGATATATAACTCCAATAACCTGCATGAGTTAAATACCTTTTTAATTTAAGCATTTTATTACCCCAACTTACTGATCTAACGTTTTACGTTCGGCCGTCAAGGCCATATCATTCAGATGACCTCCACGCAGGCGAATTTCATGAATCGAAGAACTTATATGCTATTGCTGAATCAAGAAAACAGCAGCAATCGAAATCTTACAACCCCCAAAAACAATCAAACAAACAAACGAAAAGCTTCATATGAAACCGAAACATAATTGAAATAGTTTTCTAGTCATGGAGGTAGAAAATTTTTACACTTATATGGCCAAAATCCAGCTGAAATTTTATAATTTTTTTGTAAGTTGTTTACAGGAAGGACTCAATTCAAGTTCACAACAATACAATAGGAAATTATACACAATAGGAAATTATAAGTTGTTTACAGGAAGAACTCAATTCAAGTTCACAACAATACAATAGGAAAGTATATCGCCAGTTTACTCAGTATATAAGACTCTTTTTGTGGCAAGGAATATGTTTTTCAACAGGAGAATTCGTCTATTTACACAGCATGGAAACCTCTCAGGTTTTACAGGTTCCCAACAGCATAAACCGGACGGCCTGGCGAGCTCAATCACCTGACCTAAATATCATAGAGAATGCATGGCTCGACGGCATAAGAAAACTGAAACGAGAAAAGGGTTTCGTAGCTTCTGATGAGCAATTGTTCAATTTGTTCAGAAGAATTTTCTGAAAATCCTGCACAAAAAATCCGATATTTATATCAAAGCTTGCCTCGAAAAGTTAAAGAAGCAAACAGGATGAAGGGATACCTCACTAAAATTGAATTTTAAAAACTTATTTATTCACCTTTCTCTGTTTGGTTTCAAATGTATTTTTGATTCAAAAAGAAGTATTAGATTAATTCAAACGTGCAGCAACTATTTTTTTACATGACTGTACAACAGTTGAGACGAGCGAGATGTAGGTTTTGTGTGGTGAGCTTTTTGTGTGTGGTTCACAAAAATAAGAAAGTAACCGCGAAAAAAAAACAAACCAAAAAAAAACAAGGTAACTGTTTTTCAATACAAGCCAATGTAGGACCCAATTTAGCAAATTCTAAAGTGCAATATAGTTTAATTTACACTGAAAGAGTGGGTTGAATAGTTTTAATGGGTTTTAGTTCGCTGAACTTTTTAGCAATTTTTAATGCAGTATAGCTGATTGTTATTACATTCTTAGAGAAACTGGCAAACAAAAGTCAGTTTAATCGATTTCAGATATTAGAATTTCATCCAAGTCTATCTCATCGCTTACAAGCACTGTAATTTGCCACAATTATAATGATAAACTGCCAGTTTAAAAGTTGCTCCCGCTACTTTGGCGCAAATGGAGCGCTACTGTTTTATTACGGGGGGTGGGACGGTTTTCAAAGACTGTCAGACCCAGTTCATCAAAACGAACGGGTGAGGCAGTACCAAAGGTAACCAGGTAAGACCGTTCAGCGATCTTGTCAATTAGGCACGTAACTGAGTTTCAGACTGACTTATCAAGATTTTCAACCTAGCGCTTATAACCAGCGTTAGGTCAATTATTGTATGAAAGTCAGGAGATCTACAATTTTATCAGAAACTGGTCATGATATTTTGTCAAAACTTTTCTTGTAGGACTGGGAGGAGCCAGGAATTTTTTCTTGGGATTTGCTCGACGGTGGCGGATTTTCAAAACTTTTTTCAAAAATTTTGTCGACGTTTTTTTTTATGTCGACCAAATTGATTTTCCGAGCACTCCCAGAACACTATAAAGACCCAATTTTGACCAAAATTTCCGGTAAGCGAGTTTATGGAGAAAAAAGCCACAAAAGTGGTGTTTTCTAGCACGTTTTCATGCGCGCATGTACCCTCAAATTCATGATCTTTATTCTGCACTTGAGATCAGCCAACCAGTGTGTTGCTCTCAATCATAATGCATGATGGCTTTTTTGGTGTTATTTCAAGATAGTTCTCTAAGAATTAATTGATTTTGTACAGATAATTAATTTAATAATTTATATGAAGACTGTTTCCTTCCTGAAAACGAATTTAATTATTATATACTGCAAGAGTGTTTGTGCTGCTCTTTGAGGTTTTGCGACCGGTGTTGCTTGTGTTTGTGAGGTTCTTGTTGTTGATAGGAGGGATGTTCATTGCGCTGCCAGGAGTGTTTGAGCGACAGAGCAGTTGGATCGAGTCTGCTTTCCTGGGGTCAATGTTGTCAAACACCAGTTGTCCTTTGTCCCTCACAACTGAGAACTTCACCTTAAAACTGATTATTACGGATCTGTCGTTTTAGTTTTAAAGGAAAAACACAGAATAGTAGTCATGCAATTTTGTACAATTAAGAAACACGAGTAGCCGGTTGCTACGCAAGAAGCGCATGTTTTATGGCCACAGATGTTATGACGAAAAATAGAAAATGTGGAAATTTTTGCAAATCCAGTCAGAAATTTTTGGTTGAGCGGTGAGGGAAAAGACGTAAGAAACAATAAGATGTAGCGTTGCCCTTATTTAACTGCAGCTGTTTTTTTAAAAAAAAAGTAACTAAAGCTTAAAACAATTATAAAATTTTTTTCAAAATTCTTTTTTCGTTCTTTTGTACACATGGTTATTTTCTTTGAACTTTCTTACGTTCTTTCTTTTTTTAGTGAGAAGGAAGTCCTATATGAAAATCCAATAACTTCATTTTTCTCGGTAAAACTAAATTTTTCACACATTACGAGGCCAAACTGTGCACTAGGTAGGCGCACAATTTTGTGTCAGTAAGTTCCTGAATTCTGTAAGTTCCTGAGACAAATCTTTAAATATGCTCCAAAAATACATGTGGACTCCACTTATATAATTGTGGATTCCGCGTACAAATAACTGTAACGTAAATTTTGTCGGCTCATTTGTTTTTTTTTTGCGATTCCGCAACAAGCAAATATAGCTAGTTGTTCTAGATTCCGCAACTGTAAGTGGATTCACAAAGTGTAAAAGGAATCCGCTTCGTTATACAGATTGAATAATTGATCCTCATTTATACATAAATCGCTATTTTACTAGCAAAAAATTGGACTAAATAGTAAAAATTTCTAATCGGTTTTCCTCATTTTCAGAATTTTGAAAATCTTTTGAAATTTGACAGCAAAGACTTTGTCAGACTATCCAGGGTTGACCAAATATGTTACTTGTACAAATTTCATATATGAAGAAAAGCGAATCATATTTCATGCAACACCATAAGTACAGAAAATTGCATGAAAGATCTATGATTAGTGATTTTTCATATATGGAAATTGTATGACTAGCATTTTTGCATAAACCAAAAAAATTGCAAAAAACTTGGTTACTCAAAAGTAGAGTCATCAACGGTTTGACCGTCTCGCAATTACAATGTAGTGGACACAGCTTGAATTGCCTCAGATTTGACTTAAACAAATGATATAAAGAAAGTATCAAGCTTTTAAATTTAGGCGAAAATTTTCAAAGGTGAATTTTAATGAATCATGCATTGATCTAGGCATACAAAAAACAAATTAAGCAGACGTTTTAAGCTTTCTCTGAAAAAAATGTTATTCTTTGAAATGGAGAGAAAAAAAATTTTTGTGTATCCAAGACTACATTATGAACACAAAAGACTAATTTGCATGCAAAATTTCTTTTTCTACAAAATTTTTGTTTGAGTACAAATTTCGGTTTGCAATTGATAAAAATTAACATTTTTGGGGCAATTTTGATTCTACTTGCCCTAAAAAGATATTTGCCCCAAAAACTTTTAGTTCTGCCATCAAAAAATCTAGTCATGGAATTTCCTTATCAGGAAACTATATGATTAGCATTTTTGTTGAAAAAAAAGTTTTTCATTATCATTCATGAAAAAAACACCGAATTTTATTCCAAAACAAAACAAAAAATTTTGAAAATTTGATGACATCATTTTAACAAATGTATGAAATTTGTATGATTAGTATTTTTTCATAGACTTAGTTTATGGAATTGTATGACTAGCATTTTCGGTCTATGGAGGTCAACGCGGGATATCACTCAAACTTTAATGATTATTTGTGGTACTAGATAATGCGTGAAAAAAAATCAAACAAGAAAATGAAACACACTCAAAGTTCCTCTCAACTTTCAGTGATCGAAACAAAAAAAGACACCCGACGACAAAGTTTCTCCCAGCTTTCACTCGTCAGAACAAAGATAATACTCTTACGATTCCGTAGCACTGAAAAAATGCTATTCATCAGGGGTGGATTTACAGGTGAGCGGACTGACGGCTTTTTCGCTCTCCGGTATTCGACCCCCTCAACAACCAAAGAGTTACCCAGATTCTGCCAAAATCTGCCAACAAGAGCTCAAAAACCGCAAATTTGGCGCCTGCTTTTTTTCAACTAAGACAAAATAGGTTATTTATAGCGTTTTAGAAAGCTTGGAAAATCAATTCCATCGAACCAAAAAGTCGAGAACATTTTCGCGTCTTCAAAAATTCCGCCTCATCTCTCGAGAAATTTCCTGAATCCATCTCATGTATTCTGATAAGTTTCACGTAAATCTCAAGTTTATAAAATGTAGTTTTAGTCTGTGAGAGTTGCATGATTAGCCTTGTTTGTCAGCACGGAGAATCACAAATGTGCGTCCTTGATATGAATATTTTATGAATAAGCAGTTATAAGCAAAAAAATTGTCCTCATTTTTTGCAAATTTTTATAAATTGTCCTCATTTTTTGCAGATAGATAGATTCTAATAGGTAAAGTAATCTGTTGTTTTTTTTCACCTGAGAGTGGCACTCGAATGCAAACTTGTTCACAAGTAGAGACTGGAGGGCGTGGGAGTTTGCCCTGCAGTAGATGGTCTCATTCATCAGGCTCACTCTGCGTGTAGTTCGGTTGTGGTGGGTGAAGGCTGTCAAAAGAGCAGTCGCGATGCCACGCCGACGGAACAGAGGATTCACCACTAAACACATACGCATATCCATATAAGCAACTAACTAGTTAGTATCCAATATAAGCAACTAACAAAATTAATACTTAAGAAAAAAAATTCGTTTGACAAAATTCGTTTATAATTGGGCGGCATGCAATTTTTTGCAACAACTGAACATCTCGATCGAATGTTTTTAATGAGAAAATCGATGACGTGGAAAACGGTAAATTTCCTAGAAAATGTTAAAACAGGAGATTGAAAAAACTGTTAACCGACTCTAGAAAGTGTAGAGAATGTGTTGCTCGCTTTCCAGTGTCGACAACCGGACTTTTTATGAAACCGCCTGTCAGCTATCGGCTCAGAGAGAGGCACTTAGCAAAGTGGTTAGGCGTTCACTTCGAGTCGTCAGATAGTAATCGATCCCCTGCCGCCGTGCCATGGTGGTACCACGTGAAGGTTTTACACGCAAAAAACGGGCGTGCAAAAAAGAGATTCGCTCAACTGCATAATTTAGTCTAGAATGTGGAGAGATTTGAGAGTCTCAGAAACCCCTCTTATCGTCAGACTCACGGAGTAAACAAATCAATTGCATTCTATCAGTTTTGCTTTCAGTTTTTGGCGCAAGTCGTTCAGCGAACAGGATTTTGTTCCTATTTTACGATAGTTAAAATATCTCTTTCAATTATTTTTTCTATCATGAGCCCCGAGTTTTGTATAAAATTCGTTCTTGCCGCCAGCCAAATTTTTTTATGCAGTGTAAAACAATTTCTTCCAAGAAGCCCAGGTTGGTTTCTGCCAAAACTTTTAACTTAGCGGAAAACTTTTTTAAAAACAATCCTAAGTTGGTTTTTAAAAATCTTACGCTCCACACAAGCCATATTTTTGGTATGGAAAGGTCAGTACAGATCAAGGGTGGCCTTAGAAAAGAACTCGACTCCTTTGCCATCCAAAAAATTTCCTATTGGAACTATCTTATGGCATCCGTATTTAGTCGAAAAAATCTCAAATATTCTTAAATGGTGATTATACAAAATAGTCCCATTTAAAACAGTCCCATTCAAATTTCTATAAAAGAGTCCCATACAAAAAGTCTAAAACCATTCAATTTTTATCTAACATTGATCATTTGGTGCCGACAAAATTGATTTACGTTTTGAAACATCAAACATGAGCGTAATTAAAGATCAAAGAACGAGAGATCAAACGAAAAATCAGATCAAAAACCTCTTGATATAGAGATTAAAGCGTAAGAATCAAACTCTAGAGATCAAAAGATTATATCCCCGGAGGCACAATCAAATTTCAATTTTCCGAAAAAAAGATGAAATGCGGATGAATATGAATCGAGTATATCTAGGGTACAAAAAGTGGGCGCATACTTAGAGAGTTGGGCGAGGGGAAAAAGGAAAATCAACTCGGTGTATGTATCCAACATTTTCTCCGAGTTCAAATTGACTCTAGCTCGATTTTGAAAACTCAAGGAAATGGATTTAATTTGGAAAATATTTATCACTTGGCGATGTTAAATAAGTTTGAAAAATGGTCACAAAATAAACTTATCATTATAATTTAAATTTATAAATACACCCCTTCATAAACCCAATCATATCATTGAGTTGATAAGAGCTAATCATTGTCAAAAAGTTTTTGTCAAAATTTTGGTATTTCAATGTTTTGTTTCTGGCTACTTTTTGTCCTGCGCACATTCCTTCTAGTACAACTTCGGCATTGTTTTGTTCGTCCTTGAACTTTTTGATCGATTGGAAAGGAAAGGGCTTGATGTTGCTTAAAATAACAAAAATGCAACTCCATTCTTCTACAGCGTTGTTGGTGTGGTGAAGGTTGTTATTTATTCTTTGATGGCATCTCCATTGCTCTTTGTCAATTCTGGGCTTCTGTCGCCTTGAGAAGTCAGTCTTTCATTATAATTGTCCTCAAAATAGTTGAAATTGGTTATTTTTCTGCGGATGCTAAGTCTTGAAGAAACTCGAAGGCAGCGGGGACGTCTTATGCGGACAGAAACCCTGTTGACAGAGGCATTCAAATAAGCTCCGAAAACCTGAGGTCGTTATTTTAATTGTGTGTCTGCAGACGCTTTGACTCATATGAAGAAAGCAAAGTGCGGTACAGGACATCTATCATCTCAACTGAAGTGTGTGTGTTGTATAAATTTGGTCAAAAATCTTCGAAGCAGTCAAAAAATTTGCATCGCAGAACCAATCATCTGATAACTCAATTATGTCTAGTCTAGGTAACATGGTGAACAAAATAAACCAATTTTATTTATGGGAAACAGATTTTTTTAATAAGAAATTGCTACCCGTTGTAAGTTTTCTGTAGAGCCAGAGGAAACTCAAAGCTAGTCAGCGTAGTTGGCTCTGCCATCTTTGGTCTTTTTTTGCATCGAAATTTTTAACGTTTTCCTGAACTTACGATTTTCATTATTAGTCAGATCGGGAAGTGACCTTGATCTTTAACAACTTCAACGGAGTTCTCATTTGTACGCACACGTCCATTGCAAGTGCTTTGTGTACAGCGCCAGGAAAGAGTGTTGTGTGACAGTGTTCTGTGTGTGATATACGCATGCCCTTCAAAAACTAGTGACTCAAAATTTTTGTTAGTAAGTATAGTTTCCATAGATAGTAGGTGAATAGTGTTCAATTGAGTGGTGCCAAGCATTCGCAAATGAAACAACTTGGTAGCGTAAAACAAGTTAATGTTTTTGACTGGATAAAACAGAGTCCATTTTTTAATTGTGTTAGCTTTTATGTTTTAAGTAGGTTAAGAATATTCGGCCAATCAGAATGCAGCAAATATTGAATAATAAGTAGGCTAATTTACCGTTTTAATTTATAGGGGTCGCAATTCCTGAATAGTTCCATAGGTTGGATTGTTAAGTGGAACCAACTCTGCACGTGGACGCTGCTGTTATCTAGGTAGATCTATATTCTCTGCTGCACTACGAATTAAGAAAACCCAACAAAAAATTTAATCCGTATGAACTTTTTAAATCAGTTTCTGGAACCATTCTTACTTCTATCAATGGGACTGTTTTTCGGATTAAATTTTGGACTATTTTTGGGACTGTTTTGTATGCGACTGTTTTTTTGGACTTTGCATCATGTATGAATTAGCATCATGTCAAACCCTTTGGGCAATGAGGGGTTCAAATCCTGAGAAAATTCCGCAGCCCCATATCCGCCGTTACTGGTTAATTGCATAACTGCAGTTTACCCGGGTTGACCAAAACTTCTTATCATACAATTTCCATATATGAGAAACTTCTTGTCATACAATTTCATACAATTCCATACGTACAGAAAATTGTATGAAAACTCTATGATAAGCATTTTTCCATATATGAAAATTGTATGATAGGTGTTTTCCCATAAACCAAAAACTTTGATTTTTTCTTTCTTAATTTAGTTTCTGAAAATTCTTTGGTTGTGTTTGCAACCGAACACGAGTGACAAAGACCTTGGTTACTCAAAACACCGAAGGTTGGACGGTCTTACATTTACAATGCATAGAAAACGACCTGAATTGGGATGTCTTTCACAATTCATATAACAAAAGAAACAAACTTTTATTTTTTGGCAAAATTTTTTAATGATGATTTTTTTGAATTTTTGAATTATCAATTTATCAAACATTGATCAAGACATATATTAATACTCCATTCAAAAGAAATCGGAATTTTCACCGTTTTTGAAAAAAAAAGTTAGGTGAAAAGAAAATAAAAGCCAATTTTATCGCATCCAGGACTACGTTATGGACACAAAATATTATATTTTGCATGCAAAAAATTTTTTTTCGAAAAATGTTTGTTTGCGTACGAAATTCGATTTGCCGTTGAAAAAAAAACAAAAAAAATTTTGGGCCAAATTTTCAAAATTACTTGAAAAATTTTTTGTGTCGCCATCAAAAAAATGCCAGTCATACAATTTCCATATATGGGACTTGTATGATAAGCATTTTTTTCAAAAACGAAAACCTCAGTTTTTTTTTATCACCAGACTGTTTTATTTGAATCAAACAGCCACAGAAATAAGTTTATACCAGTTTTCAACCATTTTCAGAAAATGTATGAAAATTGTATGACAAGCATTTTTCCACACACTTGATGTATGGAATTGTATGGTAAGCATTTTCGGTGTATGGAGGTCAACCCGGGTAGCTAAGCTGGGTTTTCAGAGTTGATGTGTAACTGTATTGTGCATGCAGAGTTGGTTCCACTTAACAATCCCCCTATGGTTTCAACTAAATAATTGCCACCCCTGTAAGTAAAAGCAGTACTTTAGCCTATTTTTAATTCAAATTTTTCTGCTTTCTGATTGGTCGAAAATTCATAACCTACTTAAAAATTACTAAGTTAAGCTTCGTAACCTACTTAACAATAACCCCCCTCCTTTTTGTTAAAATGGGGTAATTTTTAAGCATATCCGCATAGTTTTGCATTATTACCGAGTGCAGATATGATGGCGACTGGTGCCCTTGGCGTGTAGACATTGTGGAAAGTGGTAGCGTGTGAGTGCAGTTTGCCATAGAGCCACTTCACTTTCTCACACTTCTTGTTCAGCTTCGGCACCTACCCAAACACATGACAACACACAATCAAAAGTTGATGACAAAAATTAATTTTTTAGAGAATTTTTTTTTTGAAGAAAACATGAATGTTCATTTCCCGTTTTTTTTTTGCTATACGCGCCTTTTATTGTAGATTTTTTTTTTCAAATCAGATTTTTAAAATTTTTTCAGAAAAGAATATACCGTCTAATATGTTTTTATAAACAAAGTGAATCAAGAATAAAAGCCAATATGATTTGAAAACTAATTGATTCACTGAAAAAACGACGGAGTGGAGACATATATTTTGAAATTTAAGATGTTTCGGGCAAAAAAAAACTTTTTTCTGGGGTATTCAAAAAATTTTTTTAGTTTCCCCTTAAAATTAAAAAGGAAAACTCTTCAGCAGTTCTTTCTAAGTATTGGGATTTTGGTCAAGTTAGCTTTACAAAAGTTCAGGAATAAGGGTCGGTTTTGGTTCGGTTTGCACTCAAAATTCATTGTACAATAAACTGCAACAAAAATCTATTTAAAATATAACGTTCTTCCAATTTTTTGCTGGTATTTTTCTTTCTGTTGAGTGTTTTGATCTGCGATGTCAGTCAGCGTCTAGTTATGGAGCAGAATGACAGGCTTCAGTGCAGTTGCAATGTCGTTTCGCTTCTGGCTAAGATCAAAGTCGAAATCGATTTTTGTTAAGTAATTGATCTCTCGTGTGTCAATTGTATAAAATTGCTGCGACAAACAAATCATATCAAACGGTGCGTCGCTAGTTTCTGTGGGAGTTAATCGGACACCTTTTGAAGTAGCTGTTTGTTTTTCAACTTTTTCAAGCTTATTTTTGAGCAAAAATTCCAATTTAATTAACTTTGATCCCCTATGAAACCCGATTTACAAACCTGTTAAAAGTGGCGTTTCTAATCAGCAATGAAACGTGGCAGCCTGGTGAGTAAACTATCGCGAATCCTTTAAAAATTTTCCCGAGTTGCGGCACCAAATTTTTCTGATGAGCAGGACGGTGTGTGAAGATTAAAAGAAAAACAGAACTCAATTCAGGATTTTTTTATATAACGTAAGATTTTGTAATTTTCAACTAATTCTCCTGATATCGCTTCATTTCACAAATTCAGTTTTGTAGGCATTTTGATATTTCAACACTTCTATGTGAACACTAAAATGAACCAATTGATTTATCATACTTATTGCGGCAGAAGCTCAGTTGAACAAATAAATATTTCAACAAAATCAGCTACTAAAAATATTTAAACACAGAGGCGAAGTTGCGCTTTGTAAATATTGCAAAAATACTACCAAAAAGGATTACGTCTCAAATGGCATAATTCCCAAATGGCATAAAAATGAAATATTTCCCAAATGGCATAAATTTCATGCAACAGTTGCTTTGGAAAAATCGAGAACAGATTTTTCGTGAACAATGTGAGAAAAATAGTCAAATTGTCAATTCAAATGTTGATTGACATTTTATCGTGAAAAACTTGTAGAACTTTTTATCAAAAGCAAGAAGCATAAGCTTGCGGTTATTAATAAGCTTCTTGTGGTCTGTGGCTTAAATTTGTTTGGAAGCAATTAATTCCAAATCTTGTTCACATGCTTTCGTTCCTGACAAAATGTTAGAGTTAGAAATTGATAGAAAACGTTTAAATTACAATGAAAACTTGAAATTTATGCCATTTGGGAAAAGTTTCCATTTTTATGCCATTTGGGAATTATGCCATTTGGGGAGTTACCCCAAAAAGCAGCTCTCCTATGTTAAATAAGAAACAGTAGAAAGAAGCCTCGAATTATCAAAAACTCGGCTACTGTAGGATTCGAATCTGCGCCCTACTGAAATCAAGAGACTTTGAGTCTCACGCACTATACTATCCCTTCCGCCACTCAAGCTTAACAACGACAAACACTAATAACGAATAAAGCAGCTAGATATGCTAAAAAAATTGCCAATGCGATTCAGCACCAAATACAAAAAGACTCAGTTTTGCAATTAAAAATTTGGAATAAAACAAACTGAAGGCATCCACATTAACTTTGCATGAAACAAGTCGCAAAACATAAAGCCACACTTGCGTGTAACGCATCTCCGGTGCTTCGAACTTTTGAGAACTCTACACACTACCCAATAACAGGGTTCGTAATTTCAAACGTTGACAACTTTTTTCCATGAGTTTTTAAAATCAAATTAAAAAACATTAAATTTTGTGAAGTTTTTCAAATCTAATTTCTTCGGAAAAATTTAATAGAGATAAAAAACGTCACAAATTGGAAACTAAAAGCAATTGAGCGGTCGCATTTGGACGCTAAATTTGCAATTCCTGGGAAGACTCTTACAGTACCCAACTACAGGGTCAGGAATTTCGTATGTTAAGAAAAACTTTAAATTTAAGTTTCGAAAAAAATTTTGAAAAACTGTAAAAACGTCACATCTGGAAAACTAAAAAGATTCGCCACCCCCTCGAACACCCTGGCAGCCACCAACTAAAGGGTTGGGAATTTCAAAATTTGTAGAAAGAAAATTTGAATTTAAGATTTCTGAAATTTTTCGAAAGCTACCAAGATTGAGCAGTCAAACTTGGAGGCAAGATTAGCAACCCCTGAAACAATCTGACAGTCGCCTACAATTTTTACAAGGAAGATGGCTTCAAAATTGAATTGGAATTTGAAAAAAAATTAACTTTAAGTTTGCTGAAAACTTTTTGAAAAAAATCACAAAAAACGTCATATCTCGATAACTAAAAAGATTTGAGTAGTCTTTTTTTGGAGACAAGATTTGCATACTTTCGAGAGTTCTCTGACACTTTACAACAAAAGGGTCGGGAATTTCAAAATTTGAAAAGAAAGTTCTCTGAGACTTTTTAACAAATCACAACACACGTCATATTTCGTAAACTACAAAAACTTGAGCAGTCATAGTTGACAACCCCCAAATAGAGTATTGGGAATTTCAAATTTTGACAAACATTTTCACATGTAAGATTTCTGAAAGTTTTTTGAAACTTGAAAACCGAAAAAAAAATCATACGCATTGCTATATACGATATAGCTTAACCACGCATAAATACGTTATGCCCCTAACTTTTGCCTTTAACAAAAAACACTTAAACATGGCAAAGAAAGTGTCACACGCATTCAAATACATCATAGACTACTTATAAATTATGCATTTAAAGAATTGCGAGATATATTGAGCTGGAAAATTTCTGAAATCGAGTTTTTATCATTGTGATATTGTTTGAAACAAATAGCTTTTTTCAATTCATTTGATGAATTGAAAATGCATCAACTGTGTTCATTTATTACTATTCGAATGTCAAAGCGCATGCTATCAAAAAACTGTAAAAGTGTCCACAATTATTGGGGTGCCGCACCAATGTTTGCAACTAAGGTTGGAAAAAAAGACGGTTCCTACTAATACACTAGCTTCGCAAGTGTAAAAAGAACCAAAACTAGACATAAATTATTTCAAGTTTCAGACTCTAAAGTAAAAGAATTTTTTTGGTTTTAAGTAAGATTTTTGATAGAAACTGACCCAAAAAGTTGTCAAAGAATTGACTATATTATAGAATTTTAATGCATGTTAGCACGCGCCAACACTTTGAGGTAAGTAACTTTACGTGAAAACGACCCACAAAATGTCCGTCGTTAAAGTTCCGACTTTCAAAGAAAGTGCGGAATATCTATGCTTGCTGTGGTTTTTCTTATACGTTCAATATTCGACCTTCTTGTAAACAAAGCGTTTCTGACGGAGTTTATTTAAAAAAAAAGCGTTTCTGACGGATTAACTTTAAAAAACACACTCAAATATATTGCGCGTAAGAAACAAATAAATGCGCTCCAAATTGAATTGAGGACGGCAATTTAACGCTATTATGTTTTAATTTTTTTTTCATTTTGCTTCTTTTTTCTAAATTATTTTTTCAAATTCTCGACCAAAAGTTTTATTAATTGGCTTTTAGTGCAGTCTTTGAACTGATATACGAGCAGTCTTTTTCTGTATAAGTACCGTGCAGTTTTTCGATATGTCGAATATCAAGCCTGAACAAGACTTCTCGTATCAGTTCGAAGCCCTGAATATTCCGACTGCCTTTTAAACTCTATGGAGCAGTAATAACATGAAAATATTAAATAATTTAAAATAATTTGTTTTATATTTGTTAAAATATACTTATTGTTAAAATCATCCCCCCACACACCATATAAAGTACAAAGTGATAGACATCGCTCCTAGTAACAAACCAATTATGGCAAATATGCTTCCTTCAAACAATTTGGAACGATTTCTAAGATGGATGAAATCTCCGCTTACGCGCTAATAGCGCGAAATTTATCGCGTGTTAATTGTCCCAAATTGATTGACCAAAATGGCAATCTTTAAAACACCATTTTTACAAAAATAATCACAGGTGAAATATCTTTTTATTTTTAAGCTAAGGACAACAATACTTTCTGAAAAATATTGTAAAAATTCCGTCAAAAAGGGCTACTTGGAAATTCGAAATTTGTGTGAAGAAAAAAACCACCCCGAGCACAAAACATTCCGTTACTTTTGTTGCAAAAGTGTTTAAGAAACCACCCCTAGTAAAAGAAAAACTGCGACTCAAACTGCCACTTGAAAAAAACACACTCAACTCCTTTAATTTTTCTGATATTGGTTCTGACCGTTTGAAAAATGGTAAGGTACTTTGTATTCGGGTAAGTTATAGGTTTTTTTCTTTCATTTTTTAAAGATTTTCTTAACGCAAAATCAGCTACCACAATTAATTGTCGGAGAAAGTTGAAAGATATACCATACAAAAGCTCTTTCAGTCTTGATTTGAACTAAATTAAAACATTTCAAAAAAAATCCATGAGTCGAGAAAAACTGGGTTGAAATTTTTGATTTTTCATTCAAATTCGAGAGGGTAAAGCGAGCGAGCAGGTTTATTTATGCTTATTTTACGCCGTTAAAATAGTTTAACGCCGTTATGTTAAATTTTAATTTTACTCCAGTAAAATTAGAACTTAGAGTTTTTGCAATGCTAGATTGGTAATCAAAAATTTCAAAATTATAAGAAAATTTCTGCGAAAAAATTTTTTTGTTTTCCAAAGCATTTTCTTCAAAATTTGTTGTCCTGTTTGCCTATTTTATTATGATTGTCTTATACGCCTAAATTTTTTCTTTGCGTCAGATCCTATCTATCACACGTCGCAGAAAAAACTACATTGATTGGAAAAAAAAACTTTTTTTTTGTAATTTATTAGAGACCGAAGTCTGATCTAAGCTTGGTTTTAGGTAGAAACTTCGAGCTCCCTAAAAATGAGTATTTAACACGCAGCATTAAGCAAACTCAATCCAAACGAATAGCGGCGTAAAATACGTTTGCTTGGTTGGTTTTCTCGGTGGCGTTCTCCTTCTAAAACCATTCCCCAAACGCTATGTAAAGTAAAAGTAATGCATATAGAAAAGTATTAAATAGATCAAATAGCATGCCTAAATTCAATTTGGAACGACTTCTAAGACGGATTAAATCTCCGCTTACGCGCTAATAGCACAAAAAATATCGCGCGTTAATTATCCCCAATTGGCCAAATTGGCAATCTTTCAGCCACCATAACTTTCCGAAAAATAATCGCAGATGAATTATTTTTAATTTTGAGCTCGGGACAACAATACCTTCTCGCTGATATAAATTTTTTTTTTAAAAATGGCCAGTTAAAGTAAGCTTTTCGGCTTTTTAAACGAAACTTTGCATGTAGCACAGAATATCTTAGGACATTGTCGAGATTTTAGAAAAGCCCAAAAAGATATTTTTGTCAACATAAAAAAATCGATAAACTCACTGTCAAACACTACAACATCGGCGCCTGGGCTCAATCATTTTTCGGCAATTCTATCATGGACAAAAAGTATCACCTTTCTTCCAAGTAAATATGCGCAGAAGTGATGACGTCGCGCTCATATGACATGAAAGAAAACTAGCAACAAGGGGGACGTGATAACTGTAATTGTGACAACCTGACAGTTGATGAAGTCAGCAAAGGTTGTACAGTGGCAGAGAAGCACCCCCAGAATCATGTAGTCTCCGCCTCCTTCCCCTTCTCCCGATGAAGATTCATCAGTAGTCTCTTTGGGACCATCATCAGGAGAGTCTGCAGGTGGGCTGCGGGGGTTTCGGCCGGGCTGGGAGCTGGGGTGTAGGGCGACGAAGGATCTGCGGTGGGGGAAACAGCTGGTGGTCCAGTTGAGCATGAGGTTGTGGAAGTGGAAAGTGGCCGCCTCTCCTCTCTGCATCAGACTGGCGAACACAGGGTCCGAGGGCAGAAAAGAACAGGTGAGAATGTTGTAGATGCCCTGAAACAGATAATTGCGACTAAATTCCATACACAAGCCACGACCTTTGTGACTTCCACGGACTTTTGATAAGGTAGTTTTGTGAAGTGAAGCGGTAAAGTTCTGTTTCAAACAAATTGGGTGCATTTTTTCTAGAGGTCATTTTTTGTGCAATTTGTGTATAAATATGGATAATACCAACAAAGTAACTTGAATGTGAAATCCCAGTGACAATTTCCACAAACGACCACGATGTGGTGGCGCTACAAACGAATAAAGAAAACGTAATACAGAAGCAATTTGCAACAAATGCAGTTTATGAAGACGCTGCAACACCTAAAAAAAACTGATCCGAAACAGGCACGTTACCTCTTTCCCAAAGGCTATGAAATCAGGTGACCGATCTTTTAGCAGACCAATCTTTTAGTTTGCCAAACCAAAAAAAAAAAGAGTATATTAGCAAAAAAAGTAATAAAACTGAAGCATAATTGATTGACAGACGTCAAAGGGTGCTTAATCTGTACTTGAGATTTCGGTCTCTTGCGCAATGTAATAACAGCCAAGTTAACACGGTACATTTTACAACCTTGTAATTTCACTATTGAACAGTTTAAATCCCCAATAATTTAAATCCAATTTTGTTAAGTTAACACCAAAATTAAAGCGGTACCAACGACTTACTTAAATCCTATCACGCCAAAGTTAATTGTACAATTAACGCAAGCATCACGTTAAAAAACCTGGTTTATGTCAGTTATACATGCTAAATTGAGGCTTCCTAAATTACTACAGACTCTTATCGACAAGTATGTAATCCATTAGATGTTTCGCTGAGCCAACATTATTACTAAAACACCTCAATTTTTTCATAGCAATTTAACGTAAAATTTCTGACAATTTAAAAGTTCTGACGGTCATTTGTTGCTGTACTCGAGTCATGAACAACCGCAAACATCAAAAACAATTTATGATTGTGTCTTTTCTCGACCTCACAGATTCATCTGAACACAAACCAAATTTTACACCGTCGGCCATGAAATTAATTTCTTGTAGGCTTTTATTTGGTTTAGCGCCAAACTGCCGGCCTGAAAATATGTTGTTAGATTTTGAACCAGCTGCTCTTGATCAAAGTTATCAGTGATTGAAAAACGCACAAAATATCTTGCAAGATAAGGTGCTATAATGGAATAGGTGGCATACCTCTCTTGAAAAATAAGTCTCTTGAAAAATTTCACAAATTAAAATACTTTGCCGAAAATTGTTTTTTTTTTAATTTAATTGACACGCGAAGTGAGAAAAAAATATTTGATTTTTTGAAAAACGCGCATCTAAACAAAAACTGTTTGACAGTTAATATGATCGCAACAAGGTAACTCAAAATTGCATCGTGCTTTTTTCAAGCATAATGAATGTTTTTAGGCTCTGCCAGCAACTTTTATATTGACAATAATTTACTCGAATATCTCACCCAAGATACAAACTCAAGGAGTGGGGTTTGGTCTGATCCATAAATATCGGAGATTTTGATGCGAAAAATGAAACTTAATACTCCTTAAATTGAATTTTTTCGAGCGTTTTTTTCGTATGTTTTCTGTGCGATGAGCGGAAGATTAAGGAAACTTCGGGGAAAACTCGATCCAGCTGCATCAATTTTAAATAAAATAGACAATCAAGCATCTCAAAATACTTGTATTTGGATTAAGACTGCTGGTATTGCCATTTTCGTTTATACATTTCTGTCAAAAAGAGATGTTTGAGTTGCCACGTTTGATCCCTTAAACTTAACTTAACCTTATTTGCTCAGAAATAGAAACGCTTTCTACCATATTTTGAAGAAAAAAAAATTCTGGGCGATTAAATTGAACAAAAAAGCTGTTCGTACAGCAGTTAATCCATATTTATACGCAATTTTTTAAACAATTCTCGAGAGTTGTATTACGTAATGTTTTAACAGAGGCGGATCAAGAATTTTCTCTTGAGGGCGGATTTTTGACAAGTTTTCGGAAATTTTGTCAATATTTTTTTAAGTCAACCAAATGGATTTTCCAAGCGCTCACAGAACACTATAAAGACTCTATTTTGATCAAACACTTTGCGGCGCTGACAAATTTTTGAGAAAAAAAATTGTTCAAAGTTGCCGTTTTTGGGCCATTTTGGAACAATTTTGTAAAAAAGCGTTGTTTTGGTTGAGGAAAAGAAGCGACCTACCCCTTCCCGCCTATCACCTCTATCCGACCCTGATTTTAATACGTGTTGTTCAGTATAGCTCTTTCCTTAATTGATAGTTTTGTTTAAGTTTGAAAACAAGCAAGAAAAGCAGAAACAAATGGCATTCCGGGTGGACAAAAAATGTCTATCATACAATTTCATACTAAAATAAAACTGTTCATCATACTATTTCATACACCAAACAAATAGCAACAAAAAGCATGCTGAGCATTTTTTCCATGCTACGAAACTTTATAACAAGGACATTTCTGCCAAACTACAGGAATAGGATCAAATTTTTTGCCATACTGCTGATCATAAAAAAAACAGTATAAAAAAAAACGAAAGAATTTTTTCCATTCTATAAAGTTTTATGGAAGTTTTTCCCATTTTCACAGAGAATAATCATTTTTAGAGAATAAAGAACCAAAAATGTAAGTTCATGTATATTTTTTAGACATTTTTTTGTTTCGTAAAATGTATATTAGAGCACAAAAGCAGTTTACAACTAAAAAAGGGTTAAAACACTTTTACCTCAAATTTAAATTATTTCAATGGAAAAATGCATATCAAAGAATTTTGTTAAATGAAATTGTATGTAAAGATTTTTTGTTTAAAAAATATGAGTTGATGCTAAAGTTGCTCTGATGTAACCAAAACTGCCACCGATTTGTTTTGATTGAGTTTTAAACCAAACTAAAATAATTTTTGCATAGATTTATTACATAGACTCCCTCAAAGAAAACGAAAGAACAAACGAAGATCAAAGAGAGCGTCCTTGTAGCGGAAGCCGCTTACAATTCAGAAAATGCACATTTGGCATCGTAATGTAGGTAATCTTAAATTATATTCGAATGAACTTTAAAAATTGAACATTTGAGAAGTTGGTAAAGTGATAAAGTCAGTTTGATCAGCAGTGTTAACGACTAGTTGGGTGGTACCCTGAGTGCATAATACTCAACAAGGGCAATCCTTTGCTCTGCAAGAAGTACCGATAATTCTGGTCCTAGGTTCATATAAAACATGTGAGCAAACAGGAATTTAAGGAATTGCGAAAGATTTTTGAAAAAACTACGCTTTTAACTAGCCGGTTAATGTGCAAGTAAAACAGAAGGTTCCGACCAAAGTCTTAAAAAAAAGCAAATTAACCTCGTTTTTGGTTTTTCCACGGGATAAAAGGACCGAATGAATCATTAGAACTTAGGCAAATTCGATATTTATAGTAAAACCGGCAAACCAGATTTTGTAGAAAAATGTTAAGAAAAAAATGCAAATTTTTTTGCTGAAAGTCCTTGAATTTTTGAAGTTTTTGATTCCCAAAAAGGCGTTAACAAAACTCCAAAAACTAATTTAAAATCAATAAAACTACAATCAGGCACAAATAAGCATCTGTAAATAGCTTGAGTTAAGCATAAATAAGCCTGCTCTCTTGCCTCATTTGCTCGAAACCACCAAAGTCAAAAACGTCAAACTTGTTTTCCTCGAAACAAGTTTTTTCCTTTTTTAAATATCGCTCAAATCACGACTGGAAGGGCTTTGATATTATATATCACTCAACCCATTCCGATGATTTTTTTGGTACTTGATTAAGCGTGGAAAATAAAAAAAAAGGAGAATAACACACCCAATACGAGATTCCTTCCCATTTTCAAGGGTCGGCGCAAAAACGTTGTAGAAAACTGATCACAGGTGAAACTTTCTTAAGTACTCTAATTTGCTTCGAGAATAGTATTTTCCTCGCCAAAGTAGTGAGTCTTGTATACTTAGTGTAAGCAACTCAATAACACGCAGGTCAAATAGGACCGACTATTCGCGAGACACTCCGAAGGTTTTCGCTCAAACAAACGTTCAAGCATTCGGTTGCACCAAAAGAATGCCGTGCTTATTAGTTATAGAGCAACAGGGTTAAAATTCTTTGATAATTCTTTAAAGAATGAATAAAAATCAGATTAAACGTACCGTTGAAATCCAAAAGTAATACCTGAATGTGATTTTCGGTAGCCATTTCAATCAGGAAATTGAAGGGCGGCGGAGTAAGTGGCAACTATGTCGGCCAAAAAGATAGCCAATTTCATCAGATAAAAACGAACTGTAACATAAAAAGAAAAAAAATAGCAAAACTCATTCATGTAAAATATGCCAATTCGATTTCATGTAAAATATGCCAAATAGGACCGACTATTCGCGAGACACTCCGAAGGTTTTCGCTCAAACAAACCATCGAGCATTCGGTTGCACCACAAGAATGCCGTGCTTGTTAGTTACAGAGCAACAGGGTTAATATTCTTTGATAATTCTTTAAAGAATGAATAAAAATCAGATTAAACGTACCGTTGAAATCCAAAAGTAATACCTGAATGTGATTTTCGGTAGCCATTTCAATCATGAAATTGAAGGGCGGCGGAGTAAGTGGCAACTATGTCGGCCAAAATGATAGCCATTTTCATCAGATAAAAACGATCTGTAACATAAAACGAAAAAAAAATAGCAAAACTCATTCATGTAAAATATGCCAATTAGATTTGGGAGAAAAATGATTGGAAAAAAAATTCGAAAATTCTTTTCCTTGAATTTTTGAAGTTTTTGATTCCCAAAAAGGCGTTAACAAAACTCCAAAAACTAATTTTACTTCAGTAAAGATACAAGTAGGCACAAATAAGCTATTGTAAATAGCTTGGATTATGCATAAATAAGCCTGCTCTCTTGCTTCATTTGCTCGAAACGACCAAAAGTCAAAAACGTCGAAAGGGTTTTTCTCGAAACACATTTTTTCCTTTTTTAAATATCGCTCGAATCACGACTGGAAGGGATTGGATATTATATATCACTCAATCCATTCTGATGATTTTTTTTGGTACCTGATTTAGCGTGGAAAATAGAAAAAAAAAGAATAACACACCCGAATAAGAAATTCCTCCCCATTTTCAAGGGTCGGCGCAAAAACGTTGTAGAAAACTAATCACAGGTGAAACTTTTTTAAGTACTTATATGCCTTTTTTATGTCCTTATGCTGTCTTGTATCTTCAGAATAATGTGGCTATCATTTCGGAGTAGTGAATACATCAATCTGAGGCCGGGGGATTTTCGCGAAGCGCGACTGTAAATCGCTGTGTGATTTTCCGGTGGACATTTGGAGCTGAAGTCCGAAGTAAATTTAATCCGTGAAAAACAAAGAATAAAAATTAGCTGGAATGAAATAATATGTTAACAACACTTTAAGAAACTTGTCCAGTTTGTCTAGAAACTCAGAAAAAGTGGTTGGAACACGTGTTTATAGTAAATATACTTTTGACAAACGGTAATTTTCCTAATGTGGAAGTAGCTTTCGGTGTCAAAGACCTCTATATAAGATTAAATGTGATACAAAAACCGGACGAAGTTAACATGACTCTTTGATAAGCAGCAATCGCTGGCACGTGTTTTTCCCAATCTGACAGTTTTTTCCAAAAACTTTATATAACTGGTCAAATATACAGATACTTTCTCATGATCTTCGTTTACGAAAAACTCTAAGAAGTTGCTAACAGAAATTGCTCACTAAAATTCCAAATTAACAAATGGTCGGTGAAACAAGCAACTTTTGACATGAAACAGCGTTCTTATTAAGTAGAACTATCTCTTAGTTAGAAGACAATTCTCTCGATTTTACGGCAATTAGGGAGCTAAAAAGAAAAAAATAATAATTTCCAGAACTTTTTTCTCAGAATTAGCAGACTCGAGCGCATGTGAGAATTTCTTTGCGAAAACTGCTAAACTAGTCCTGATCTTCATCTCCTGTAAAACTCGACGGCTCTTGGCTCATTGCAAAGTCTGTATAATTGTTAATATTATTATCATTTTTGATAATAATGAAATAAGCGTGATCTCAGCAGTTTTTGTTTCGGCAGAGCGCACACAGCCCTCAGATTTACAGCGAAAGAGAGCTTGGCAGGAACTAGGTATAGGTTAGCAACAATCGATTTGCAAAACATTTTTTTGTTAATTGCAGTTTCATCGAAAGAATACACAAAATTAATTCAAGTGTTTCAAAATGTTGCTTAAATTAGTAAACTTGACTTTTGATAACTATCAGTAAGCTGTGTCGAAAAGGCTATTCACAAGCTCTGTCGCTATTTAATAATTTCAGTTTAAAAAATTGATAAGCTGTTATTCAAAAAGTTCTAAGATCCGTTGATTTTTTCTATTTCTAGAAAAGGCTGAGCAGTCATTATTTCATAAAAAAGTTGAGAACATACTACTGTACCTGTTATTTAGTTGCATACTGATTACCGCATTTTCGATCCTGTCAGTGTCAAACATACTGTCTTTAGAAAATCGGCTGGCATGTCTTCAGTCAACATTACTACAGACTAGACCGAAGTTACTTTGTTCTTATTGAACGTTTTTATGAAAAAAGCCCACTTTGAGCAAACTGAATTGATAGTATTTATTTTAGTCCGCAAATCCTTAAAAGCTAGAATCACAAATTATCAAGGCGTAAATCAGTGTTTTCACTTGGCTGACTCACATGTTTAAAAATCAGTTTCTTCATAATTTTAAGCATTTCAAAACAGGGGAGGGACTCAAAGCTAGCTTGAAATAAACTACCAACGACCTTATTAGCGAAAAAAAATACATTTTTTTCTTGCCTCTTTTGTTTCACTTGAAATATCCAAATTCTTTTTCTCAATAGACAGAAAAAGATTTTGAGAAAAAAACGATCGACTGATGACTTGAAGAGTTTTAGGCGATTATTAACTCGATCTCATGGTAAATAAAAAAACACTCTAATGCAAAAATCTTACCCACTTGCATTGATTGGAATAGGTATCACGCTAAAACTTTTAATTTTCACAAATCTTCCATGATTGACTTTTTCAACATAACTAACCCACATTGAGAAAAATGGATCAATACGCATTTTTTCGATGCGAAAACTGAAGACCACCTTCGAAACTAAAAGTTAATCATGTTTATCCGCCATTTTCTCGTTGCAAATCGACAATTTAATGCCCTTTCTATTTAGCAAAATGATTTGATGTGAACTACATAGCCAACATAAATTTGCAAAAGAGTCAATTAATGCAAAGAAACAGAAAAAAATATATATATGGTCTTAAAGTTGATAAACGTAACGTAGTTTGTGAAAACTGGCGTGTTAATTGAAATCCAAAAACTAAACTCAATATTTAAAACTAGAAAACTATCACGAATTTTCGTTCCATTTGCTTTTTGCCTACTTTGCAGCAAATAAATTTAAATTGAACTGAAAAGTGCACATACACCTAAAGGCATTCAGAAAGGCAATAATATCATTGACGACACTTTTTGAGGTCACTACTGTAGTTATTGGAGCATTGTAGGACTTTTCCTGATTAAAAAAAGCCGGAAACACTTGAGTAGATGTCCACTGGTCCAAAAACAAAACTCCTTTAAAAAATTTTATCATTCAATCTTTAACATCACAGTCGCCTCGAATTGTTTATTTTAAAAAACCAATTTATGCCTTTCAGAAAATATTTTAAAACATTCAAAATCCGAGTTAACATTGACAACACAACAGGACGACTGCCAATTATATTAAGAACTATTTTAATCGAAAAAACTCCAAGCTTTGAAAATTATGCCGGCGAAAAATGAGCAGACAAACAGAAGTACATCAAATCAATTTTTCCCTAAAAAATTATTTCTTAGATACTAAAAAAAGAACAAGGTCCGACCGGAACCCGAACCCCAGCCGCCTTAACTCTAGACCAAGTGCGGAAGATCCTGCAAGTCGATAAGGTTCAATAATGAAGCAAGTTCAATTTCTAACAGATTTGTAAGTTCTCTACGGAAAACAGTCTAGTTCTCTATTACAAGTTCAAGAGTAAAGACATAAAACTTCAAACCACTGAAATAAAAAATAACGATCTAAATAAGTGAAAAATCTATCGTTAATTAACCCTAAATAATACCTCATATAATTTACAATTAAGTTTGCGCCTTTCGTACATCACACTCTCCCGCTTCTTCAGATAACAGAGATCAGTTCACAAGCGGAAATAGAGGGGGGCAGACGCCCCCCGTCAGGGATTCGACCCCCTGACAACCCGAAGGTTCCCTTCTTTGAACTTTTTTACGATATCCATTTTTGACTGAACAGACTCTAAATTTTTTCTTAAGTCGCCTTTGGCGCCAATATATACCAATTTTGAGGGGCAGCGCGCGGCAATCAATTTGGTCAACCTACAAAAAGGTCGATAAAGTTTGAAGTATTTAAATTATTCTTTTAACAAGCAGTACAAAATAACATTCAAGCTATTTCAATCAACTAAGCCATAAATTCACTGCTTGTTGGGACAACCCAGGAGTAGTTCAACTCATGGAGGGTGCCCCAGATAAGATAATATTTGAGGAGCATCAAATACATAATTATATAAGGTGACATTTTAGAAGAGAATTTCAAAAATCTGATAATTGTCAAACAGATATGTGTCCTTAAAGTTGTTAAAAAAACGTTCGAACTGGGATTTGGTCATTTTTTCTATATCGGGAGGCAACAATTCGTTGTTTTTAATAAAATTATAAACTCGAGTTATTCGTCGCGTAGCTGACTTTTCCATCATTTTACTTTTAAAACTAACAGTGGGTAAAAGTTTTGCCGCTGTTCTTCTGGTTGTTCTTAAGTAAGAAGTTTCATTAATGTTTAGAAATTTTACAGGTGAAGTTTTACTCAGGAGACCGAAAGCTTCCTTGAAAATATGAGCCGCATACAATTCATAAACTGTGTAAATTTTGTGCTTAATCGCTAGGTCTTGAACTGAATCGCTGTATTTTTTGCGAAATACAGTTCTGATTATTCGTTTCTGTAAAAGATTAATTGATTGTAGGTCAGTTTTTGATGCACTCCCGTATGTTAAAATACCGTACTCAATTATTGATTTAGCATAGGCATTATAAAACATCAATAGCTGTTTTGTGCTGAAAAAACTTCTAGTTTTGAGTAATAGGCCATTGAACTGACGTAATTTTTTGTTCACTTTATCTATATGATCCTTAAAACTGAGCTTATTGTCGATTATTAGACCTAAATATTTTGTTTTGTAGGAATTTTCAATTTTATGAGATGCAAAGGTAATTTCCGTCAGATGATTGTTACCAAAAGAGACTAGATTGCATTTTGCTGGATTAACAGTAAGCCCATTATTAACAAACCACTCCTGACTGAGGTATAAGGCACTTAAAAAATCTTTTTTGTTGTTGCAAAAAATCGTTGGATCATCAGCGTATAGAACGGAGTTGGCTTTACCAAGTTGTGTCGGCAAATCATTTATGTACAGTAAAAACAATAGTGGCCCCAGAACTGACCCCTGAGGAACGCCATATTTTATCAAACGTTTTTCTGACCAACATTTATTATAATCAACAAACTGAAATCTATATGATAAATAACTTTGTAATAGCTGCAAAAATTTTCCTCTAAACCCGTTTTTTTTCAAGCTTGGACAGCAATCTTTCATGATTTATTGTATCAAATGCTTTGGTCAGGTCTACGAAGCAGGATTAACAGGTGCATTTTTTGTCAATACTTTTACGTAAAAATTCTGTAAAGTTTCTGATAAACGTAACGTAGTTTGTGAAAACTGGCGTGTTAATTGAAATCCAAAAACTAAACTCAATATTCGAAACTAGAAAACTATCACGAATTTTCGTTCCATTTGCTTTTTGCCTACTTTGCAGCAAATAAATTTAAATTGAACTGAAAAGTGCACATACACCTAAAGGCATTCAGAAAGGCAATAATATCATTGACGACACTTTTTGAGGTCACTACTGTAGTTATTGGAGCATTGTAGGACTTTTCCTGATTAAAAAAAGCCGGAAACACTTGAATAGATGTCCACTGGTCCAAAAACAAAACTAACTCCTTTAAAAATTTTTGTCATTCAAACATCACAGTCGCCTCGAATTGTTTATTTTAAAAAACCAATTTATGCCTTTCAGAAAATATTTTAAAACATTCAAAATCCGAGTTAACATTGACAACACAACAGGACGACTGCCAATTATATTAAGAACTATTTTAATCGAAAAAACTCCAAGCTTTGAAAATTATGCCGGCAAAAAATGAGCAGACAAACAGAAGTACATCAAATCAATTTTTCCCTAAAAAATTATTTCTTAGATACTAAAAAAAGAACAAGGTCCGACCGGAACCCGAACCCCAGCCGCCTTAACTCTAGACCAAGTGCGGAAGATCCTGCAAGT